ATCTCCCGTCAACTCTATAACCTAACCTAACCTGTCAATTTCAACGCATACGCACAGAGGACGAATAGGAACGTATAGTTTTCTCTCTCGCACACACTTGGAGACACTTTCGTGCCAGCATTCCCCCTCCATATATACAGGGTGGACCATTTTAATCCATCCAGTCGAATATGTCGAAAACCAAGCACGGGAGAGAAAAATGTTTCAGACAAAAGTTGTAAGGCTTAAAAAAACGCATTCAACAATAGTAGTTATTTGACATAGGATGGCGTCGCCAAGGTCAGAACAAGGTCAACTTTGCTTTTTTAAATAGAAATACATATTTTTTATTACGGCATTTTATTCAACGTAAAAACGCAAATAACTTTTGCTTGAAAAAATTTTTTATACGACCTCTATTTTCTAAGATATTTACGTAAATATCTTAGAAAATAGAGGTCGTATAAAAAATTTTTTCAAGCAAAAGTTATTTGCGTTTTTACGTTGAATAAAATGCCGTAATAAAAAATATATATTTCTATTTAAAAAAGTAAAGTTGACCTTGTTCTGACCTTGGCGACGCCATCCTATGTCAAATAACTACTATTGTTGAATGCGTTTTTTTAAGTCTTACAACTTTTGTCTGAAACATTTTTCTCTCCCGTGCTTGGTTTTCGACATATTCGACTGGATGGATTAAAATGGTCCACCCTGTATATGCTCTAAGGTATTCATAGTCGAATCTTATTTCTAGGCCGTCTTAAGTAATGTCTTAGGTTGAGAATACGGCTCTGTGATTGGTTCATGATATCTTAAAACAGTACTTAAGATGATCTTAAATATAAGATCGGACTATGAATACCGGCCATAAATTCCGAATAGACTTTGAGGACCTCATGCGGCGGATACACGAAACTCCTCATTCTGGCTCACCAATGTCGAGATGAAACGTACCACAGCTATCTTCCGATATTCACTGTAATAGCGGTAGTAAGAGCTAAAACGAGGTTATTACGGAAAGCAACATATTGATTGGCTGTCGCGCGAACTTCCGCCGCGCGGCAAGCATTACCGCGTTCTGTGTGCAAGAGCCATAAGTACTGAAATCTATAGTATACATAGTATGTAATGTGAACTATAAATTATATTCAATTCCCTTGTATACATTAGGCGACTATGCAAGTTTGTCTGGAAAGTCTTAAAAAAATTACATATAAGTGTCGTTTTGAAAGTGATCACGTGTTTCACGTGATACCACCACAGCGACTAATACACCATCTGCGTCAACTTTCAAGATAGAATAAACTAACTGCATTTATTTTTCGATATTGTCGGTAAAATCGCAATCTGGTGTGGTCATTAATTATTTATGTTGAAATAATCAAGATAATATATAATTATTTATATCAATCATTGTGTGGCAGAACACATAATGCTTTATTTTTTACTGAGATATCCGTTCTCACTTTTTTTGTTTCTTTTTCTTTGTTACTCTCTCTCTCTTTTATGTTGCAAAAATGAAAGTTTTATTAACAATAAGAATTCCTGGTTATCTTTACAATTAAACGTATACACGTGCGATACATCATAATATTATCCTATAAACATTAGAAACCGTTTGCTAATTGTCGCTAACTGCACCAGAAGTGTGATGCAAAGTAACGCAACGCACTACATTGGAACGTCGGAAGTTTATCATCACAATTTATTATCCTCAGAAGAATTAAAGAAAAGGGAAGGATACGACTCATGAAGATATAGGAACAAGGCGCGCAGCTGCACGAACAGTTATGCAGTTCCGCTGTCGCCGCCGTTGTCGCCGTCGCCGCACTTCAAAGCATACCGTCGCCTACGCGCGAAAAGTCACTTTACTATGTCCGGAAACGACACTTTATGTGCCCTGCGTGATCGCGAAGAAATTAAAGAGCACCTTTCTCTCTTCTCGAAGACTCTTCATGTCTTGCACGTTCGATTCTCAAAGGTAAGCCTAATGCCGCATTGACCATATTCAGGCAGACCAGAAAATCACGATGACGAACAAATAATCGAATTATACTGGAAAAATGAATTTTTATCTATTTTATCTATTTTATCTATTGTTTTATATATGGATTTTTATTTTTATGAAATATATATTCTTTATCTCGACCTCGATTTTGCAATCCTCTACATTATGTATCTTTTATATATATCGGGCGAAACACGTAAAATAAAAATACTGCTGAGTGCTCACTTGAAATTAATTAACACTCAGGTACATTCCCTAATAGCACAGATGTCCAGGGGACATCCAGAAGATATCGTGAGGACATTCTTCGTCCTCAGGACGTCCTTTAGGACGTCCTCAGGAGATCTTGTGCAGTTGGATTGTTCCGTCATTTTGATGTTATCGTGCGAGGTTTTGCGTTCTGAGATATCGTCTAAGACCACATTATGTATAAGACCACATGATCTAAGACCATGTTTTAGCATCTTTATCAGGAGTGATATTATTTTAACATATCTGACTTGTAATCGAAGAGATTTCGAACTGTAGACAATATTGTCTAATCGGTCTATTCTACTTTGCTTTGTTTGGATGTTAAAAGGAAGAATATAGCAACCGGGGGTTGGTTTGCTGCCATATGGCGCAAACGTGCTGTCGCTTATCTCCAAATTTTTGCTATCTCTACAAATAAACAATTTCAATGTTTCAAAAGTGTCCTGAAATAATGTTATCCTTGTTGACCGTGAATGCATAGCTTAGTCTTATCACATCTTAGTCTTAGTTTTATCACATTATAATACATTGTAGATGTTCGACATGTGAAGTAACGCTCGGACAGCATGAGCTCTAAAAACGATGCATAAGATGACTTTAAGATAACTTTTAGTCATCTTTATGATACATCTTTTAAAGGTATCATAAACATAACTAAAAGTAAGGACTAAACGTCCCGATTTTTCATTCTTTATCCCGAATTTTTTCGAGTACTATTCGGGACACCGATTTGTCATCATTTTCAATGATTGTCAAATAATTTTCGGATCTTTTAATCCTCTTCCCTCCGCCCCCCGCTTCACACATTTATGAAGTGTTTCGAATTCAGGGCTAGGAAATCTGTGGTCTGTTCTTTTCAGCTGCACTACTGGACTGGTGCAATGAGTGAGAAAAAATATACTTGTCTCACTTTAACTTATTGCACCAGTTCAGCAGTGCAGCTGAAAAGAACAGACCACTGGTCACCTTACTAAAAGATATCTTAAAATCATCTTATGTGGCATTTTTATAATTCGTGCTGTCTGGGCGCATTCTCGGAATATAACCCAGCGAAAAATAGCTTATCGATTGATGGCAAAACGATGTCAAATCGATATCGAAACCATCAAATCGATATCGATTTGACATCGTTTTGCCGTCAATCGATGAGCCATTTTATGCTGGGAATGTATCTCGAACTAGTCGTTGAGATGTCGATATCACATATGTCGATAATTCATATGTGGAATAAAAAGTTCCGTATATGAATTAGAAAGAAAAATTTATCTGTCAGAGATACAGATGTGTGCATGACGAACAAATAAGTAAACAAGAGGTATATTTCACGCATATATACATAAATTTATCAGTTTACCGTCTCGTTGAATGTACACAGAACTTTCCTAAAATATTCTTTATCTTAACCTCGGCTTTACAATCCTCGACATTGTGTATCTTCTATATATCAGGCGACACCCCAAATAAAAATTCTGCTGAATGCCTCACTTGAAGTGTTAGGCCACACTCTGAAGCCATTTGACATTTCAAACTCGGCATCCATATTTCAGTCAGTACGGAAACATCGAGTGATTTGACAAAACTTCCCTTCAAACGCACAAACAGTCGAGACAAAGTGGCCACTTTGAAACAAAGTTCCAGTCACCTATGTCGTTTCGCGCTACTAGAGAGGGGCAATGTGTACTCGTGCTTCCTCTTCTTCTCGCCTGTTTACACTTTAATCCTCCGACTGGCTGTTGCCGTTGGTGTGCTGTTATGAGGAAGCTTTTTCTACGAGTGTCTCAGCCGGGTAAAAGTGCCACCGGTTTCTCGGGAGGTCAATTTAAGAGAAAAATAAATATCCTGGACTCTGGGTCGCGATGTATGTGCGTATAAAATTTGTTTGTACGTTTAGGGCGCAATTGCCGACATCACTATCGTAGACACGTTATCACGCTACGTTATCAACCGTATACAATCGAGTGTCGAGTGTCCATTTCGATAACATCACACAAATATCATGAGAAGATCGCACCTTTAGCCGTCGAACTTCTAACATGTGTCTTTCTTTTTTTTTTATTTAACATTCCATCTTACTACAAGCATTTTTCATGGGCACTGAACAACATTTATGTCCTGAGTATATCTTTACACGCATAATTTTTTCATGGATTCTACTCGAAACGGGAGACAAGATTTCCTTCAGATTTATCGAAATGCCGAGAAAATCGTAGACGAAATTTTTTCACCGTCAACGCGACGTTCCGCGAAAAGTTTTAGCGACGTCCGCGCGAGATATTATCTTGTTCGTCCCGCCTCAAGTCGAGAACAAACCATTAACGGCCGTCTGGCCGTCGAATTCCGTAATTTATGGTGACAAATTCCATGTTCCGTCTCATGCACGACGCTCATAAATGGAAGCGTGGCAACGAGGCCCTAGAACACGCGATACAAATCCGTGCAGGGTCGGTGTCATTGATAGAGCTGGCGATAGCGATCTCCTCGACGCGCTTGTGTGATGTACTTGTCAATTGCGCTGTAAACTTCTCGACTGTACATATATTTCGCTAGGTACGCTGTTATTCATTCCATTATATACACTAAGAAGGAAATACTTGAAAATTCATTGGTATATGTATCCCAAACACCAGAAATGTTCAACATATCTCATGGAAATATTCTAGAGATATTGCGATATCTTTAAGATATCCTAATAATATATTTTCAACATTTCTGTTGTATGAAGTATGATATATATAAATTTTATTCAAAGAAATAAACTTTATTTTATAAAAATCAGGTTCGTATTCCATACATTTTTAAATATTTTTTCTCAGTGTATATACAGAGACATACAAATCTGAAATCGATAATGATTAATAGTATTTAGAAATTTGAACATCAACTATTGGACAGTTTAATGTTAAGATAGCATAAACTTTTAAAAGACATTTAAATAAGAGAACATTTTTCAAAAGTTCTTTCACAGTTATTTCAGAAGTCTTTAAACCTTCCAGTCTCATTTTTCTTAAAAAATTCAAAATATATGTGTAACACATAGAAAAGTAAGTTAAATAATGTTAAAATAAAATGAATTTTTTAATTCACTATGAGACATATATAACTCAACTGGGTAGAAGAGATTAAAAGTTAAGTTAATTAACTGGGTCTTTGCGCTGTCTATCAACATTCAGCATAAATTGTACTTTACATAAATTACATTGATGCTTATTTGCTATGAGCATATCATAATATCTTTTGCTTCTCAAAGACGAGAGTCGAACGAAAAAAAATTTTCTCTCTCCTTTCTCCATATGGTTCCAGGTGTCTAATAAGGCCTTTTTCGCAACAGCATTCAACGTTAAAAAATGTGTATTATGTTAATTTGGCAATGTCATTTTCCAATTAACAGACAATTCTTGATGTTTCTTGAAAATAATTTCAAGATATTTTCCAATAAAAATCACAGAAATATATATATATCATGTCCAAATAGCTCAGATAGGAAAATGTATTTATTCTGAGCTCATATTATATTCATGTATCTTTAAGATATGAGAACAAGAATAAACACCAATGCGGGCTCATATGCGCCGCAGACATGTTATGATGTCACAAAAATACCCCATTTAATAATAATAATCAACATTATGTCGAGAACTTGCAACATAATTTATACATAATTTGTACATCATTTGTGTGCATCTGGTGCTCATGTCATGAGATCACGTAATAATCTTTAAAAAAGTATCAAATTGAAGTCATACACTGTTAAATATTGGTGGTCAAATTTAAACCAATTTCTTGAATTAAATAATATTTAGTTATTTTTAACTATCATGTGTGTCAAAATTTACTATTTTAACACAAAACATGTATTTAAAAAAACAACCACATCTAATCAACCTATTTAAAATAATATTAAATCATTTTTTATTAAAACAAAGGTTACATTAACGTGCACATAATAAAAAATAAACTAAATTTTAGTCAAATTTAATACATTTCTTAAGTTAAATTATTTAACTCCATTACATTAATTAAATTAACGACATATTTAGCAGGAGCAGTGGCGACTTATAGGAATGGTTAAAAATAACTCAAATTGAGTATAATTTGACACTACGGATTTAACAGTGTAATATAAAGTCACATTATGATGAAACGTGATCATCACGCATTTCTATCTGGGAGATTAAATTAAGTTACGAATATATTTTTACATCACAACAGTTATGTCGAAACTTTTAACGAAAAAATTGAGCAAATAGACATTAATCCCTTCATGATTCGAGCTATCAAACACGCCATCTTGACGGAATGGCAGCCATTCACTATACGAAGTGAGCAACACAAGTCACTTCGAGAGAACCAATCAGCATCGCGGGAAAAAAAATAACAATCTTTTCGAGATAATCGAAACTATTTAAACAAATTCGAGCATTATGCTCACTCTTTTTTCTCTCTCTCTCTCTCTCTCTCTCTTTTCCTCATTCTCTCCTCGTCTCTTCCCGTTTTGCCTTTCTTTTAACGCTCTTTTCTTTTATTTTCTGCTCAAAGCAAACGAGATACTCGACTTTTCCGGTCTGTTTGATTTTTGATAACCCTACTTGTCAACGATTACGTTCTTTGAATTGCAATATTTTAATCTAAGACTAATCAGGTATGCGTGGGCGCGGCGTTGGAAGAGGGCAGCCAATGGGCGCGCCGACCAATGAACGAATTCGTTATGCGCGGTTAAGAAACAAGCGCTCATGCTCGTGCCGTGCTTGTTCCGTTTCGTGTGGACGGGAAGTCTTCGGTTTCTTTAGTTTCACTCGGAACTCCGCAGTTAACGGATAGGCTTGTTGTGTCTCCAACTGCAATACTGATCTCGTGTACAATTATAACAGATAACGATAACAGTGCCGCTTTCGTAAGATGAACTTGCCAGTTATGCCACCGTTTTTACAAAAGTGTTGCAACCAATTTGAGTACGTCCACCACCAAATAGGTTTGTTTCATAAAATACTATATATGTAATTATGCGTATACACACGTGCTTATATCAAGGAATCTTTAGTGCTATAGACTAAAATGAAATTTTAAAGTGAAATAATATAATAGGATATTGTACAGTTTTTAGAATGACTTCAAACAAAATCTGGTTAAACTAATGGACGGTTAAGCTGCAGAGTTCCAACTGAAATTTCGGACTTTCTCTCTTTCTCTCTCGCTCGCTCGCACAGTTTCTGTTTCAACAACAATTTCAGTTATAACTCTGTCACTGCTCGTTAGTTTAATCGGAATTTGATCAAAGTTCCTTGCTTGTTGATAACAATGTTTCTATCTTTGAAATTTAATGTTTAAAAATATTTGGAAATGTTTGATGTAGTTCGGAACGCAACCGATAGTCTAATGAGAGAACTTATTCATATCAGACCGAGGACATGTCAAACGAATCAGGTGATCTAGGCCGCGTTTCGTTTCACGCATGTGCGCGCATTTATCTATAGTTCATGTTACGTATACTGTGAAATATGCGTGCATATGCATGAAACGGAATGCAGCCTTTTACGTTCTACTTTATTATAGTCCGTTATAATCTTCACTCCATAGGGTCAATTGTTCCAACTTCTTGGTAAGCTACCTAACAGTTAAATCATGTGTCTGTCTTTGTCCAGTTTCAAGAAAAAACGAAGACAAATATATGGTTTAACTGTCAGATAGTTTACGAAGAGATTGGAATAATCGGCCCATAGTCTGATACGAGCTTCAAGATGAACGGCATATGTTACAAATTTTGTCTGTAGTTTTAAGAAACAATGCCACCTTACGAAAACATTGCATGCGTTAATTACTACATCGTTCACTGAGGCTGTTACTATCCTATGCAGCACAGAAGTTTCAAAAAACTTTCAGGAAAGTTTCAGAAACATTGAACCTTTCTGAGATCTTTCTGGAATTTTTTTCAAACTTTTGTGCTGTATGCAATATTAATTGCACGTCGCAAGGTCGCAAAAGAAAATTGATCAATTACAGTCAATTTTTCTTCGATCACAAGAACGATCGACTGTGATTGATCAATTTTCTTGCGATCTTGCGATTTGTAACTAATGAATAGGCTGTAGAACCAGCCTAAGGTCATTGTACATTAATCATAAAGCAGATTGCGAGCAAATGCAAAAGATTGATTTTACCTAATCTTGATTGAAACTCATAGCGTATATCAATTAGATTCGCAAATTTTACAATAGTTGCAAAGCAACTTGTTCCGCTAAACGCAGCCATTAAATATCAACGATCTATGAGCTTATCGTTTTTGATTTTATGGTGACGAGCTTGAGTACAGACTTTTGCGTAACATATAAGGGACTCAACTAATTAGAATCCTTTATTTCCATTCTGGAGAGAGAAATAAAGAAATCTGATTGGTTGATTTCCTTATGCGTTATATAAAAGTGTTGCCATGGCGAACCTCAAGATCCAAGACATACTTAACAAGAAGCAAAAATATTTCCTATTCACTCAGGATCACTTGGAATCACCGCAATATTACCGAAATAAAGTATCTTTCGTTTTATCTTGGACCGACTTATCTTGAAATCGACTATCGAAGATGGTGAGAAAGAAAAGAAATAGAGAAGGGAAGAAACCCAGACGGAACACAAAGTCATATAACAGTCAAAATGACGTCAAATGATATAAAAGTGATATCATTTTGATGAAACGATACCATTTTCATGATAATTTCATTGATATCAAAATATTATCTTGACATAAAAATGATTTTGTATTCTATCTGGGAAGCTTTCTCCGCTTTCACAAACCTCAACTTGTTTTGTAATCCGGATATTCACACGTCCGATAATGGTTTATATCGATAATTATCAAAAACACTCTGTAACGTGTTGTCGTCACATTGTCATCGTGATCATCGTATGGCCTTAATGCCGAAAAGGACCCGACTCCTCTCTGAGATGAAAGAGAAGTACCGTCCTACGGCGGTCAATTGGTACCTACCTGCGGCCGACAGTAGGTCGATGTCTGCTGAAATTGTGCAGCGGTATAATCTGACCCTTAATACTTATCCCATGGCTACATCATCGAGAGACATAACCGTGGACGATCCGAGAGAAGTGACGGTCGGACGGACGGACGGATAGTTATCCAAAAAGGGTATTCCATGCTGGCATTCGTGTTACTTCATCCACAACATTCTTTTGCAATGGCGGCTGCATCAAACAGAGCCTAGATAGCTAGGTTCACGAGGCTTTTACTTCACCGATAATTTTCGTCTATAGAGAAATCAACGTCTAATGTAACTATTATTATTAACAAGAATATTAAATTGATGTGAAGATTGGAATTCGAAAGCAAAATATACATTAGGTCTGTACTTCTTAACTGAACTAGGTTACATTTCTTGCCTTTAAGAACCGTCTACTATGGGAGTAAAATATAGCTGTAAGAAGTAAGAGTAAGAAATTGACCAATCACAGTCGACTATTCTTCTCACATTCGACTGTGATTGGTCAATTTCTTACTCTTACTTCTTACAGCCAAACTTTACTCCCATTGTAGACAGTCCTTTAGAGTGAAACAAGTATATAACTTAGCATTAAAAGAAAAAATAATGAAGTTTTTATGCAATACTGGTTCAGCTAAAAACAACAACCCTATTGTGTGCAAGATGATTCCAAGTGAACATCGTGATTCGGAGAATAAAAGTTGTGACTTTGATAAAAAAAACACAAGCGCGCGCATAGTATGAGTTTTATTAAATTATAATTAGATCAATCGATGAGTGATTAGCAGAATGTCAACAATTTTCAATTGTGTATAATTTTAACGCAACAGTGATGGAAAGAGTTATTTTTCCATGTTGATCTGATTCTTTATATTTCGTCGTCTGACTGCGTATATTATGTGTTATACAGGTGAACTGCCTAATGTGAACACATCTCGGAGGATTCATCCAGTTCTGTCCAACGTCCAATTGAGATTGCATAATCGAGAGCTGTGGCAGCAGTTCCACAAGGAAACAACGGAGATGATTATCACAAAAGTAGGACGGTGAGTACTTTGGTCTTTTGTATATTTTCAGTTATTTTGTAAACATCTTCGAGTGAAATTCCATTCAAAAAGCGGAATAGCAGCCAAGTTGCGCTCAAGTTGGAATGACTCCGCTTGTACACGCAAAAAAATGACTTAGTAATATCAGCTAAACCGCGATAGCTGATTCAAACTTAGTCAAAAGGCTAATCGTTTAGCTGTCATTGCTAAGAATTGGCTATATCATAGCTAAAATGCATTCGCTGTGAAATACAAATATATTAGGTGACATTAAAAATGCACATTATTTCAAATAGCTAAGAAAATGGCAGTTATTCCTAAATTTCTTATCGTATTTATATATTAAAGAAGTTTGCCACACAGCTACAATCATTTGCTATAGTCACTTGTTTCTAGCAGCTAATATTTCTCGCTGTAGCGCCTAAGTTTAAACAGCTAATAAATTTAGCTTCGGTAGTATCGACATTAGTTGTCCCTATTTCAGTGACACATCTTATCTGCCACAGCTATTTTTTAACTCTGGAAGATAGTTCTTTTTTTACATGTATAGAGTGAATTCGCCTAAAATTGAAGAGTAAATTTGATAATGCTGTATTTGTCACGAAAATAAATTTGTTCGAAATTAAATCGAAATCTTGTGTTAAAAATGCTAAAAAAACCTAGTAAGTTTGAGTTGGCAATGCAATGGAGAGAGAAATCAAAGCTATAAAAATAATATGAAGAAATCTTTTTGATTCCAACGATAAGTTTGGCGCTAATGAAATATCAGAATAAATTCGAGATATGTCACACTCTCGGCGCCGGCTGGGAGGTCCCGCAGGCTTTTCTCTATCTTTGACGATCGAGTCAGACGAGACATTTTCCGTGACAAGTTTTCATGTCGAGACCTCTTCTTCTTCTTGGCGCCTATAAGAGGTACATCAGACCGGTGCTATGGTGCGGCGACGCCTCCAATCCGTCTGCGCCGCAGTAGGCTCTCGAAACCATCCATGTCGCAATATTTCACGAAAAACAATAGAATATGAATAGAAAAGAACGTAACATGAAATTCCATATCTTATCGCTCACCTCGTGAGTCATATAACGACTATAGAATTAACAAGGACTCGTCACACAAATCGTAACACGCTATTGTTGCGAAGGTCTCGTCATAGAGATGGTATTTTGTGTAAAGGACTCATCGTTCAAAGTGAAACAATCTGACGCCTCGTATATTTCTCTTCGATCTCTCTCTTTTTTTTCAGACAGACCAATAAATGTCCTCTTCAGATTCTTTGCAGACACACTGAGAAAAAATTTTTTTTATTGGATATTCATTTAATAGCTCATTTAGTATATTTACTTATAAATGTAATTTTTTTTATTTAAATATAAATACAACAAAAACAAAATCGATTTTTTTATGGACAGTGCAGTTTTAAGAAAATATGCCTTTTTATTCCATAATTTTAATTGGGACAATGTTGTAATTCTGGACGTTGAACGGAATTGTTATAAACGCCTAATTTTTTAAATAATACATATTAAAAAACAGATTAATGGCTTAAATATTCAATCTGACACTGACGCATTAAGCAATATTTATTTTCCGCTGCTCGAGATAGTAAATAGTTTTAATTTGTTGATCTATCTTCTTATTTATATCCTTATTTATATCCTATTTTGTGATATTTTCTTGTTGATATTGCCTACATAAACCTCTATTTAGATTCGTCGTTGCACATTTAGCCGTTTAGTTTGTTTAACATTAGATTTCAAGAGTTTAGTTCTTGACTGCTTGGTCGACGGAGCTCTCTTTTTGTCATCTCTTTGGTGAAACAAGTGTTTCTCTTAACATTTTACACCTGCTAATCACGTATGTCATGTGAGTTTTATCGACTCAATTTTTCTTATGTAGCTGGCGAACATAGAGGTGTTAACGATGAATATTCTATTGGAACACAGTTTTGATAATTATAAATTAGTGAGAACTTCCCTGCGTTTTTATTATCTTTTGACATTTTATGGCAATTATTCAAACTAAAGAGGACCGTATCACACGGTCGAAACGTATCTTGTAAAAACATACCTTATTAAATGCATAATATCTGCATTTTGACTCTTTTATTCTTTTTTAGTGTTTCAATTTTATTTAAATTTAGAGCCGACAAAACTTCTTTGTTGTTTAACTTTGAATAAAAATATGTATATTATCATAAACCAATACGTTATCAATAGCCACCATTAGAAACATTTTTTACATATTTTTTCTCGGTGTAAAATCTACATATTATATAGGAAACTAGAGTTTTTTGAAGAAAATTTGATTTATGAAAAATTTTCTTGAATACAAAAACCAAACTCGAAGACGTGTGGTCAAATATTACCTGTGGTCACACTACAAAGTCTAAGAATGAATCTAGCCTTTTCAATATCGCTTGAAACCCTAAAATTGTGGAAACGGTCATTTAAGAAAACCAAATGTCTTGATCTTTATCTTAGGTACGTAAAAGCGACAATAAGGGCCGAACGGCAATTAGTTTCACAGAGGGTATACATAAAAGAACGATCGTCAGCTGACCAGGGCGACGACGACAATCGCTTATGTGCTGTAGCACATTTTATGTGAAAGTACATTTTTCATCTTTAAGAGACATCAATCGATTGCACTAAAGCCGGACGCATGGAGGAGCGTATCATTGACGCATCGGTGAGCCTTCCGGCAACCAGTTTCCTTTTTCCAATCAGATAACCGATTCTCCGATCCCGATACGAACGCGACAATGATGGGGATAAAGCGTCCGTGGAATTTCGCATGACTCTCTGAGAGATAGCTAAACATAGTGGAATATCGCGCGTTACGATTTCGTATCAGTAACGCGTAGGCGCAAAAACGATGGCGAGAGAACGGAAGCAAAGAAGAAAGGAGAGTTGAGAAGATTACAAAGATAAATTCGTGATCTCTGACGGTCTTGTGCTCGCGTTTCGTCCGAGGCGCGACGAATCTTCATAGAGAAGCAAAACGAACACGAAAAAAACTAGTTTTCAAAGCTAAAAAATAGCTGTGGCAGATGTGTCACTGAAATAGGGACAGCTAATGTCGATACTACCGAAGCTAAGTTTATTAGCTGTTTAAACTTAGGCGTTATAGCGAGAAATATTAGCTGCTAGAAACAAATGACTGTAGCAAATGATTGTAGCTGTGTGGCAAACTTCTTTAATATATGCATACGATAAGAAATTTAGGAATAACTGCCATTTTCTTAGCTATTTGAAATAATGTGCATTTTTAATGTCACCTAATATATTTGTATTTCATAGCAAATGCATTTTAGCTATGATATAGCCAATTCTTAGCAGTGACAGCTAATCGATTAGCCTTTTGACTAAGTTTGAATCAGCTACCGCGGTTTAGCTGATATTATTAAGTCATTTTTTTGCGTGAAGGAACATAATTGAAAAGCTGATCTTTGTGCGATTTTCTGAGTTTTGCCGAGACAAAAGGAACAGCTGAAGAAGGTTCGGGCATAGCTCCGAACGGAGTAATCAACTAATAGATATTTGGAAAGCAAACAAAAAAAAGAGTGATTGACAAAACTAACAAAAAAAAGCCAATAGAGAGCCGATAGAACAAGGCGGACGATATATACGTTTCAGATTATATTGATCCATCGTATTTATGGTGATTTAATCATCAAGAATAAAATACAGGGTCTTTAAGAGTCAGGCACAGGTGTTATAGTGCGATATCAGTTAATCTAAGTAGTGAAAGTCCTCAATACAGTAAGGAGGCAATTTATTAATTTTTTCACTACTGAAGAGAGTCTGAGAATAAGACCAAAACGAATAAGAAAGAATAAGAGCAAAATTGTCGTTGCTACTGCATATTCGTAGTGACATAAAAAAATTTTAGTTGACGTAACTAATTTTACAAATTATTCGTTATTAGAGCAGAAGTAATTTCGTTGTCAGGATAGAAAAAAATTTTTGAGTGTATTTGTCCTAAGAATCACGTTAATTTGCTATTGATGCAAAATAATATATCCTTAGCAAATTGATTTGCTATCGGAGCAGAACTGCGACTGCTTAAAAAAATCCATCATGATTTTTATAGCAAAATAATTTGTAGATTCAGCAAATAGTGATTAATATTCTTAGCAAATCTTTTTGTTATCCATATAATAATGAAAAGATTTTGCTAGACCAGCAAAAAATTTTCTGGGCCAGCAAATTATTTTTCTCCGTGTTGATATCGCACTATAATATCTGTGCCTGAACTCTCAAAGGCCCTGTATTTTACTCCTGATTTGTTTAAAAAGAGTTTTTTCTTGTTTTAATTTTAATCATCAGGTAAGCTTTTGATCATGAAGTAAGCTATACAATCAACGAAGATTAATGTGTAAAAACACGTTGAAAAGGCGACGTGATGAAATGAGCGCGATGCGCAAAGAAGATCCTGCCATAAATTGGTGTGTGACGGGAGAATTCGCACATGTTCTAGCTGAAAGAAAACTCAGACAAGTGGTCAACACGTGGTGATCAGCAAGACTACGTCGCATTGAAAGGCCGGAAACCGCGGATACATATCAGACACCTTTGTCGCTATTGTTTACAAATTGGACAATAAATACATGCAGATGTTGATTAGAAGATTTTGCTAAAAGAGCAAAATTATTTTTCTTCATGAACTAATTTAAATATTAGTGAAAGTCTTCAATATAGTGAAGAGGCGATTTATTGATTCGACATATAAAAAGTCACCAAACGCGTTTTGGTCTTATTCTCAGACCCTCTTCAGTGGTGAAAAAATTATTAAATTGCCTCCTCACTGTATTGAGGACTTTCACTACTTAGATTAACTGATATCGCACTATAACACCTGTGCCTGACTCTCAAAGGCCCTGTATTTTATTCCAGATGATTAAATCACCATAAATACGATGGATCAATATAATCTGAAACGTATATATCGTTCGCCTTGTTCTATCGGCTCTCTATTGGCCGTACAATCTATCTTTCGAGTACAATTTAATTCTTAAATTAATTAATTGCATTTTATGTGTAATACTTAGTGGGATGCAGTGATATTATACACAGAAAAAATTTGATAGGATTAACCAAATATTTGATGAAATATAAGCAAACCAAAACTCTGTTCAAGTTAATAACATTTTTGGTTAATATATATCAAAAACCTTGTTTGGTTAAGCAAAATCTTGTTAACCTGAATAGAATTCCGATGTAAGAGTTCTGGTAGAATTCCGATGTAGGAGTTCTGGTTTATTTACATTTCACCGGACATTTGATTAATTTTTTTCCGTGTAATAATACAACAATCACGACACATTTACGACATGTTAATATTTATACATTTCTTTTTTCCAAGTTACACACGTTATTCTCTCGTCCTGCCTGGTAAAATTGACCTGCGCGACTTTGTTTCGACAATGATTAACTGTGAAGGAAGGAAGAATATCACAGCTCGTTCTACCGCAGGTAGTTTGATGGCAGAGAGATGGAGAGTTTCGGTAGCACTTTTGGCTTTTATGCTTTTCATCATTATTTGCATTTTATCTACGGACGAGAACAGGACAAATGTGGGCTACTAGCATAAAATAGCCATTTTTTCTCAACTGTCGATGAGACTGTACTTTAATAACTAATTATCACATGACTGATTGAAAGCCAGTTACATATTTGATTGGAGACTGTCTGAAGCCTAACGCCTAATCGTAAAATTATGTGTTTCTTATATAACTAAGTGATGGCAAACCTCCATGCGATTTCTCGCCACTTGATGGAATGTATTAAAATGGGAAAGAATGTTTCTCATGATATATAAAGAATAATCGATAATTTCTTATGGAAACTTGTAACATTGATTCTTTAAGGTTTAATCCACCTTTTCTTATAATTTTACTAATTTTAATTTAACGGCTATTTATTGATTGTTAAAGAAAAAGGAAAGTATTCGATCTGTTTTACGGAACTACTTTGGACTGCTCGATCGATTGCGGGCGTCACTTTGTGACATACAAACCTAACATTTTATTTCAGAATATTTTGCAACAATTTTTAACATGTATTTTCTTCTAACATAAATTAAAGTGGCTGCGGCGATAGTCCAGGAGTCTTAATTAAATCGAATGTTAAATTTTACTTAGAGAGAGAGAGAGTCAGTGGATGTAACACTTTACAATTTACAGGATGAGACACAGAGCTCGTGCTACCGAGAAATGTGTGTTATATCACGCCACAACATCCATTATCTCAATGCTATATAATCATAAGAGGTTCCTTGAAGTGGCCAGATGCAAGATTGTTGTGGCACGAGTACTCACCCACTACCACGGCGACGCGGATGCAACGGTGCGAACGCGACTTCACGCGTCGAAGAATCGGAAGAATAATCCATTCTGGATAAATACAGCTAGAATTATAATAATGTTACAATAATATGAATAAGGCTGACCTGGCATTTCTATCTTAACTTTTGTCTGAAACTTCGATTTTGCTCGTTCATTATCAAATCAAACGTATACTTCAGACCTCAAAGACGGAAATGTCTAAAGATTCTAAGGCCCATATTCTGAATCCTCTTTTATCGATAAAAGTGTAGCTTCTCAGCGAGTGGTTCTTCTCAGATAGTTCCTAAGTCTCTTTTAAAGGCACTTTTATAGATAAAAGAGGATTCAAAATATGAGCTCATGAGTCTTAACGAGTACCGGATTATCACTCTCCGGATTAGTAAGCAGCAGTAATTATCCGATAACTATCGATGTGACACAGCAAAGATACACATATTATCATAGGTTAACATAGAAATGCCATGTTTCTTTTTTTTTCAAAAATATCATATTGAAAAACTATGAGCCATGTGTGATAACCAAAAGATATAGCTATTTTCTTCGAAATTCTCTGATTGGAAACTGAAAATAAAGATAATAATGAATAGAACGCTCGAAACTTTTGTAAGTAGGAGTCAGGCATAACTAATTCGTTGCTTTCAACGATTTTATGACAACTAACAGTTTTATCTTCGTGCAAATTGAATTTTAGCGTCGCTCGCCTCTATCTCCAAATCTCTTCACGGGGTTTCGTCGAATCTTTGCAGCACCGACAGTGTCTCGCCGATGGACTCTCTTTTATTCCTTTGTACTGTAGGATGGCAGAGTGGCGCGCGATTTGGCAAAAGGCGCCGGGTTGGGTTGAGGTATGGCACCCGCGCGATTAGGCTGGCGACACAATCCTGGCGACCACTCGACGCTGACTTTTCAGGGATGCGTCTATCGGATTAGCAGACTGCCTTGAAGTGTTTGCGTAGCCAGAACAACTAGCCAAACGAGACGGGAGTTTTCCCTTAGCAAGGGATACTTTTCTCTACAAAGTAATAGGAGCTGTTTTAGCACGACGACGAAGATTTTGACGATGCCTATCCGTCGCCAGAACGTTAATGACTAAGCTTTCTCGTTCTTTCGAAGTGCGAACTACCTGCGAAATGGCGTTTCTTCTTTTCATGATAGAAAAATAGAAATCCTTCGGATTCGTTGCGGCCACACGCATATATGTGTGTGGCCGCAGCGTGTGTGGAAAAAAAGTTGCAACACTTTTATCTCGACAGCAGTGGCGTAGTCAGGGGGGGCTGAGGGGGCTGCAGCCCCCCCGAAATTAATTTTCTGAGTTACGCTAAATGTAAGAAAAATTTTTTGGAATGACCTTTTTTTTGCTCATCAAAAATAGAAAGTACAACTCCCCCGAAACTTTTTTCTGGCTATGTCACTGCTCGACAGGGTATATTCAACAATTTTATGAAATATAAGAGAATTTATTTCTTTAGTAATTCTTTTCAGAGAAAATATATTTGTATATGACATAATTTCTTTCTATTATATACCAGATAGATTCCAAGTTTCATCGAGAAAAAAGTTTCGCGATTTTTCTTCTATACGGAAAAAGGATTTGCTGCAGCAGCAAACTAATTTGCTATATATGGACAGTTAAATATAATTCGTTGTGTTAGCTATTTTTTTTTATTGCAGGAATCTATTTCCTTGCTATGATAACAAAAAAATCTGTTCGTACAGCAAGACAAATGGCTAACGCAGCAAATTTGTTACAAATGGACAACTGAACATAATTTATTGCTTTAGCTTCCTTTTTATTGCAGGATTTCTTGTTGTCTTAGTAAAAAATTAGTTCCTACAGCAAATGTTTAGTTGTCTATATCTTTTTTTCCATGCACTAATCGCATTTTTGTTTACAGAAGAGTTAAACCCTTTTCCGTCAAAGGATTTCCGAAAACCTACATCTATGTTTAATAAGCAATCGCATTTTTTCTCAATTCTCCTTTTTGCCAAATAGTCAGAGAGGTAAAATGGGGATGAGAAAAACAAGGAAGAAGAGCTTACTGTTTCTCTATGAGATTTTTTTCTTTGATTACAGACGTATGTTCCCGCACTTACAATTGAGCATCGACGGTTTACAGGAAAATGTCAATTACTGCATCCTCGTGGAAATGGAATCAGTCTCGTCGCACCGTCACAAGTATTGCGGAAGCAATACGTTCGACGAAAACGGGAATAAGAGCGGCAATTCCGGAGGCTGGACCAAAGCCGGACAGGCGGAATCGCAGCCGAATATCGAGCACAGGATCTATCTGCATCCTGACAGCCCAGCGCGCGGAGTTCATTGGATGAAACACGTGGTTAACTTCAATAGATTGAAAGTCACCAACAATACCGACCGTGGTTTCAACGTATGTACACACGAATTCGCGAAATCTCGCCATCCGAAACTTTTTCTAATGCGCGACTCAAGTCCTCAGAGTATATTATTTTTAAAATAACAAATATAAAAATGTTAAAATAAAATATTTTTATCTAAACTGCTATTTTCTACGAAAAATGTTATTAGATAGAGATCAAGTGAAAATAATTCACGCGCTTTTCCATACGAATAGAACTGCACGGAAAAAAAGGATTTGCTGTAGCAGCAAATTAATTTGCTATATGTGGACAGTTAAACAAAATTCGCTGCTGCAGAAACCTATTTCCTTGCTATAACAAGAAAACCTCCTTGTACAGCAAGAAAAGTGTCTAACGCATCAAATTTGCTACAGATGGACTTTAGCTACTGTTTTGTTGCAGAAGCAGATTTTCTTGTTCTCTTAGCAAGAAAATTGGCTCCTGCAGCGAAGAGAAAGTGAGTAACACAGCAAATTATGTTTAGTCCATACCTATGTCCATACCTTTTTTTCCGTGTACATATATACAGAAAGAAATATCTTTTTCTCTCGGTGTGCTTGTGCAATCTTATTTGTGTAGCGGTTATCTTGAGCAGTTAGTAGATATTGTTGAAAAACGAAAACGAGAACGATAAATGATTTAAATAATTTAAAGAGAGAAAATTTTAATGACTCTCTCAGTATATACCTGTTCGTGCAGACTCGTGTCGTAAGAAATTGCGTTCAAGACGAATGTTTAATAATACAAGCGGGTTATAAAACTATAATGTTTTGTAATATATGTAATATATATAGTTCGAACAAGAGAGACTGAAACACTAATTTAACAGTAGTAGCTACCGCTCACTTACGTGACTCTTGGATGTTTTGACAGCCTTTTTCTCTGGTTTGTTCTTGAAATGCTCATTTCCTGTATCCTTGTCTATATTCTAGTATATCCCAGTTTCATATTACTTTTCTTCTTGTGTATATGTTACGCATGGAATGTCGTTCACGCACACACGCAAGCATGCGCTCTTTTAACTCTAATTTTAATTTAATTTTTAATCGAATGTTTGAGTAAACATTTACTTCTTGACGTCGACTCTCCAAATCTACATATTACAACGGCAATGTCCATATGTCCATATGTCCATGTCTCGTTACTGTTATCACATGAAAATATAATTACAAAATAATCAAAGAAAATTCCTTTGGATTTTGGATGAAGTATGAGTTTTGAAGATTTTAGTTTGACAACTTAGCCATCTCAATGACCTATCGCTTCATACGTACATTGGATGAATCTTTCTCTTGTGTCTACTCAGACTTATCATTCGTCGAGTTTGTAACGTGAAATTACAAGCAAATTTGATTCCTTTTATACTACATAACTTCTTATATGTTTCAAGATAAATCGTTTGGTTCAAGATATATCGTTTGGTTTCTCGCAATGTAGCTGCTTTGCGTAAAATTTAAGCGAAAGTTACGATGTTTCGATGAGCGCGCACTACTCTACGACTTTGTAGAATATATGTGAGTTGAAAATCAAAGTTTGGAAAGGCAAGTTCGGCACTCTCGTAAAAAGCGTCCAACGCGCTTTCGAGTCGCGCAACAATGAACTTTAAGCCACTTTAAGCTACTCCGTCTTTGTGGCTGCTCCAACGTGACGTCTTCAAAGAACGAAAATTAACATGCTCTACGACACCCTGTAATCGATATACCGTTTTCTCTCTCTCTCTTCTTGAGTCATGACTAAGTTTGTTCAGTGTCCTGTAAGCCTACAGATCTCTACAGCCGAGGGTGACAGTGTACCCACAGCCTATTGTTGTGTAGATGACAAAACGCGGCTCTTCGGCGCCGGCTCATCGCTCCCATTCGCGTCGATCCGTGTGTAAAACGCGCGCATCACGCTAATCCTTAAAAGCGTGCCGACACTCGGCGCTTAATGAGAAATCAATCGTAACGTCGCTATTGTCTCACGATTTCTTCATCCCTCTTGATTTCGTTACTTCTCTTCCTCTGACGTAGAGAGTAATGCACAGATCTGTCTATCGAATGTCAAAAGTGGTACAAGATCTCCCGGTAATACGGGGACACGTGATTCTAAGAAGGCTAGGGTGAGAGCTGATGAAGGGCGAGGGACGAGAGGCGCCAGAAAGAAAAGGCACCAGTCTGGTTTTCGGGAATCGTGTCTGTGTCTACCGCCGGCCTCTTTAGCGAGGCGCCAACTTATCTCGAAAAAGCGGCGCCCTTTTACTCGGTTCCTCAAACTAATTACGAATTTAATAAAATCCCCGACCCTGTGTTTCTCGCCGTGGCTAACAGAGAGGGTCTTCTCTCCTCCTGGTCCGGGATCGTCTATCGCGGTGACGCAGCTTGTGCCGCGTAACAGCAGGCCTGTTCCTTTTTTCCCTTTTTGCACTTGCACCCGGTGAAGTAACGATATTTTCATGCATAGCCCATTTAAAAAGGATGTCGTATGTGAGAATCGACTTTCTCACATACGACTGTAAAAAAAATACATAGGAAGATTTCTGCCGTAGGTGTTGTTAACATCGATGCATAAATATGTCCCCAAGATCTGGATCTTTCAAAGTGACTATAACGATAATTTCAATAAGCTGTGTTCTCAACCACATTCATTCTTCATCTTCAAAGAAACTGAATTTATCGCAGTGACAGCTTATCAGGTATGTTTATTGTGTCTTTCTTTCTTTCAGCGGGAAAGAATTTTCCGTACGAAATAAAGTTCGAAAGAACAAATATTTTCCCTTGAATTTGTGTGGTCTCGTATTACAGAAACAATTTCTCTATATTTTTACATCATAATGATAACATAATAATAACTTTCTTATATGCGGTTGGTACGTACGTAAGCTATTGTTTCATAAGAAAAATACTAAATAAAAAAATATGCATGCGGCAACAGAAAATTCTGCTACTATAAAGCCTAACTTGATAAACATTCTAGAATGATGTAGACAAGAAAATTAAAAAAATCAGCAACTTGTACGATTCATACGAGTTTTTATTTTTAGTTTGTATACATTCTTCACTCTCGCGTTTTTTACTTTTTCCCGGAAGCAATGGTCAAGATGATGTTTAAGTGATTTTAAATTTTTTATTTGCACTTTTTTTTATTTGCAGAATGAAAAAATCACGAAGCTTAAAATCAATAACAACCCATTCGCGAAGGGATTTCGGGACACGGGACATTCACGGTGCAAGCGTAAGCAAGGAGATGCTACCGGTTATCCTAACCAAATGAATGATGAAGACAGCAATTCTTCATCCGAAACGGGGCCTTTGCCTCCTAGAGCGTTATTGCTGAAAACTGATGTTCTGCACAACGTTACAAACACCGGTACAGTGCCAGGTCAAGATTTAACACATAGAAGAGTGGAGGATAATCACCTAAATGCGAGACCATCTGCACCATGCTACGTATTTCATAGGCCGTGGTTGGATCCACCACGATCGTCTGTCGACGTTCATTTACCCCCGCTACCACTATCTCTGCCATTGCCCACATTACCTGATCTACCCTTGTATAACTTCCAGTTTCCCGCACCAGGTTTAATACCTCATGGCTTTGTACCACCAACACCTAGTCAATATCAACATTTCGGGTACTCAAACATCCGCGATTGGCAGGGAACAATGTATCATATGCCGTGGTATGCTAGATTTTGTAACTAATGCTATTGCGTGTGTATAGGTAGCTTTTAGTTAACACATAAACAAAACTAACAAACTTACGTCATGAAGAATATATCAGATCGATTCAAAAGTTATAAATAAATTTATGAAAACATGTTTTTAAATCAATCTAATAAATCATTATGATATGTTAATATTCATATAGTATTAGATTTCGTATCGCGATTTTGTTACTTGGAGTTAAAAATTAACTTTTATATATAACAATTAGAATATATGTATATATTTTATATGTTTTTTTTCTTTAGGCATAGAATATTCCAATTCACATGTAAATCCAAAATTTGATACCTCCAGAGCGGAGAACAATCACCGAGATATGAAGATATCCTTGTCACCGTATTTTTACAGACCTTTGTTACCATTACATACAGTATTCCTTGAACTTAATTTACCATTGACTCTACTGCCCGTGCTATCGTCGCTCAACACAATGTTTTGTCTTGTAATTATATGATTATTATTAAATTAATAATAAATTAATTCTATTATTATTAAATTAATCATTATATATTGTTGTTATATGAAAGTGACAAAGTCATAAAATTAAAAAATAAATTGCATGTCATTATAAATTATAAAGAAAAAAAAGTTCAAAATATTTTAAAAATTTGTTTCATAAATTTTCTCTTAGCGTTACCTTTTCAATGAAAAATTTTTCATACATAATTATGTAAATTTATATAAAATTATATATGATTATATATAATTATAAATAATTATGTATAGACAAATTTTATATATAATTATGCATGAAAAATTTTTCATTGGATTTTTATTTCAAAATATTTTGCAAAAATTTTACTCACTGTGGATAAGAGGAAGTAGAAGATGCTTGTACTAAGCACGTGCGAAATTGCAAAAAAGTTATAATTTAAAGGTTATTCAAGAGGTATTTGTTCGATGATGAACGTGTACAATATCTTGTTGTACAATGTATAATAGGATTGTGTTATATATATTTGATGCTTAATTACCAAAGATATTATCTATATAATCGTACAAATAAACAATACTATAAATAGTCGTTCGATAATATATGTCATTGCATTTGTATGTCCAAAGATTTCTATATTATTCTTGAACAAATATGATACAACTGCGATATTCAGTGCCTTACCAGAATATCATATATTTTCGAACTTTTAGCAAGTGTATACGATTATAAAAATAAAATTTCATGTAATAAATTATATTTAATACCACTTTTAAGAAATATCCTCGAAGTGTCCACGAATAAAATTGTAATGTACATTAACATAGAATAATCAAATTAAGCTATATGTACTTTTTACAGACTCAAACATAAGTTTTTAAAGAATGAAATTTCTCCAGAGCTACATTCCTCTCGTAACTATTGTAGATACACAAACATTTTTTATACATTAACACGTTTTATAGTTTTTGTAACAAACACTTTTTATACATTAATATGTTTTATAATTTTTGTATAGAATACTATATGTCAATAAAATAATGTTTTAAACAATAAAATACTTTGTCAGCCTTGTTTTTTAATTTGTTAAAATTATCATAAGAACAAAAGAAAAAATATTTTCAATTGTTTGCTATCTTTTAAAATCCGATTGTATATCTTAAGAAAATGCAGTTACACTATGTGTTAAAGTTACTTTAGTCCGTTAGTGTATAACTTTTAATCTCGCATACGCGCAAAGTAAAAATTTGGATTTATATTTAACACATTACCAGCGTCATACGTGTATGACAGCGATAATTTGTCTTTCCATCCAAAGTTTATTATACACAGAATTACATTTAAAAAAATGCGGGATGATCTTGGGGAAGGTTGCCCAAATAAACCGTGATAGCAAATGTGTAAAATCTGCCGGTAATCATCTAAAGGTGAAGTAATTACAAATTAAACAATACGGTGAATGTCGTGACAGTCGCCAATGACTGTATTTCACACACAAGTTAAGTTTCTTTACCATATCTTTAATAAATCAATCCGCAGGTCAGCCTTTGTACAATCAATGGAAATCAGCACAGCAGTCAATATGTTAGTTAGTTGGTTGGCAGTTATTCGCTGTCTCAACGATGTACTCATTATACCAGAAAGATAGAACTTTGGTGACACAATGAATTTCGTTGCTGTGAAACGAATGTACCAAAGGCCCCTACATAAAACAATGTACCAGAGACTCCGACGAATCGTCAACCGCGAGTTTTTCAAGGAGTTGGTAAAATATGGATAAGTATAGATGCTTCAGCAGAGACTTGCAAAAGTCGATATTATATGGAGGAATGGCAATGAAGTTTACAATTTGTCTTATGCAAAATTATAAAAAGAACCACAATATTGCAATAACTTTAAAAACACATTGTCAGTATTCTCGATAAAACCAGGTACATAGTTCTATACAATTTGATAAATGTCTGTAAAACATTGGTTCTTAAGCAGAAGCGATTAATTCTGAATTTTTATTCTTAGTTTATAGGAAACAAAAGAAAGATTCATTATTGATGCAAACATAACATAATAATATACTATATATTATATGTGTATCATATGTACAAAAAATTGATTGAGTAATTAAGTAGCCCAACATGGCGAATAAAATAATGAATAATAAGTTTCATGTTTCCAATAAAAAGAAAATCGATAACGGAGATCCCTAATCTCATGGAATAGAAGAAAATATCCATGCATGATTCGAATCTAATGATCGACGTTCTAACTCTCAGGCCACCGATGTGTGAATCGCACAGGATATCTCTCGCGAAATATATACAGTCCTCGTCCGACTCGCTTGATACTTTTTTCAGGATATCTTAATTTTAAGTAACTTGAACCCCATCGAGCGACCGAGCGATTTACGCTTCACGTTCTTTAATTGCTTATCGAGATACAGTGTTGAACGAACTAACTTGTTCATAATGTAACTAATACATGAACGATATACCTCTCGGCAAGGATCGAGTGAATAATGACATAGAATAGTAGTACGGTTATTGAAATGGATATAGTGCGTAGTAAAACTCGGGAAGTACAACGTCTCTCACGTGAGTAGCGTGTCGTCTAGTTCTTCTATTTTGCCCTCCGGTTGAGAGAGAACCTTACGCAACACTTTGCTAACTACGTCAGATAAAGATTCCCTTGCACCAGCATCCAGGAAAGCCATACATCGCTGAAAGGAAGCCACGTCATTATGTCACGAAGGAAACAGACGCAAAAAGAAGTTATATGAGAAGGATAATTATCTTGTTTACGAAAGTTAAATGCACACCTTCTGACGAGACAACAGTAACATACCTGGTGTTCCTCTTCACCCTGTCTCAATCGGAGCACCGCGATAAGCGCGAGTTCGCTGTTGGCTTTGACATATCCGTTCTTCTCTTTCGTCCCGTTCACCAACATCGGTAAAAGTGACCTGAGCAGCTCGGGCGACATCTTTTCGGGCAGTATATTGCGTGCAAGGTGAATGCAAACTCGAGCAAGCAGCTGTTTCACGTCGTTACTATTGTTGTTCATCGACTGAAATTCGAAGCAAAGGTTACAATACGTACATACGACCACGTTGACGTTAGTTCAACATTATCCAGACAATGGCAGGAAGATTACAAGTTGTATCTGGGTGAATTTCAGAATACAACCGCTATCCCATAAAGAAATATAGCTTTTGAGAATCATTAAAAAAAACGTTCTCCTTTGGGATACAGATGCGGCACGAGACTTATTAACCCGGGAGTGGGCGCGTGAACGGGATCAACGTTAGTGGGCGCGTATCAGTCATTTCGACCGAAATATATTTAAGCATATATATGTGTATTAAGAAATTACCAATCCAATTATTAAAAGAAACATAATAATTGAAGAAAATAATTTTATGATATTACTATTTCTTCTTTTGCCCATCTTTTTTTCTCTTTACCATTTCTATATCTAATATGTTTAAACATATTAAACTTATTATACATATGTGAATATTAAAAATAAAATCATAATATTTTTATTTTAACTGTATTAGTAAAAAATGACATTCTTTTAGTTTAATAAAATAAAATAAGAATTTCTTGCTTCTCTTGTTTTACTTTGATTAACTTAAACATTAATTTAATAAACTTAAAAATTTATTTGATAAATTTAGAAATAGGGAATAAATCTTCTTAATTTAATGACAATATTAAAATTATCACATTATGTATTATTTCAATAATTCAAATATTAATTTTAATCACTATTGAATCAAGAATATATACTCCAATTACGCGTGCTGTTGAAAATTTTATTGATTCAACAAAGAGAGAACCGTCCAACTACGATGTCGGAAAGACAATAGACGTTCGGCGGCACATCGAGCGATACTGACGCGGCAGAGATAAAAG